AGGTGGTTTTATTTTAAATATATGAATAAGTTATATAATAAATAGATATATTAACCAGATAAATAGATATGTGTATTATACATTGCTAACTTGACGCATTTCTGCTCGAATATTCTGTAAACACGCATAATGCAAAGCGAGTTCAGTCGCCGTCAATCCATCTGGGCGATAAATCCACTCCACAACCTTCCTTTGTATTTTAATACATGCTTTAATCTTTTTTCCAACTTCTCTTGCACGTTTGATCCTTCTAATTGCATTTGTCGTCCATAATTCGTAGCGACGTAATGCATAGCTGTCATCGTATTTACGTGCGGATTTGGTTTTTTGTATGATTTTTTGGTATTCTCCATAACTCACACCACAGTGTTTATTTCCAGCACAATGAGAGGCCCAATGTTTTTCCATTCCTATGTGGTTATAATTTCCAATATTTTTAGTTCGTTTACCGGTATATACTAATTGATTACAAGAGAAACAGATAGCAATACCAATTTCAGGTGCATAGCTTTTATAAAATCCATTAACCTCAGACCAATATGTTATTAATTTTCTGGCTTCAAGATATTTTTTACTATTGGTAGGTAGAAGATCATTCTCTCTGAAATATTGTAAGCGAGACCAAATTCGGTTCATCCATTCGGTAGGAGTCTCATTCGATAAAACAATACCCATCTCCAGAATTTCATCCCATTCAGCATCGGTACAATTGGTTCCACGTCTTTCACTTAAGCTAGTCATTTTATACAAACTATTTATAGTGTTTTTCGAGATTATGTGATTATGTCGAATTTAAGGATTTAGACCTATTAGATTTAATAACTTTATACTCTAGAATAATACGATTCAATTTTAGTCCAGATTGGATTCTCCAACCATCTCTTCAAGAGTGTTATATTCGCCATATTTTGTGGGGGTATTTGTGGTGAGAGTGAGATGTACATGTATATTGGCTGTAGTGAGATATATAGGTATAAATATAGTTCGTATCATTGTTCGTAATTTGAGGGATAAACATATCACAATTCATTTTTGTTCGATATAATGATAGAACCAGGTTTATTTTTCGTGAAGAAAAAAAAATAACGATTCATAAAAAAAAAAATTTATTATTATTTTTATTTTGTTTCAATTCGCCTATTTTTGATATTAACTTTTTTGTGTGTAACACGCCATTTCAGGGCTAAAACATAGTAAATTCGGTAAACTTGTGCAACTTTGAAGCTCAAATTCTCCACAACAACATGACATACCAATGAGATGAAATCGTGATTTTGCAGAGGAAGGTCTTGGCTTCAAATACACGATTTATTTTTGGGTGTTGCATTTCCATTTTTGGAGAATTTGAAAATCTACACGACCAATAAAAAGTTGTGGGACTAAGTGATTTGCACTGTACATTACTTAGAATGACAAAAAAATCATACATTTGCTCAAAAAACAAAATACAATACATCATAGCAGGATAAAAGTCATAGTTTCTATTCGTAGTACTAATACTTATTTTAATTCGAATTATTATCATTCGTTTTATTCGTTTATTCGAATAAAATTTTCAATGTAATTCGAATACTCAAATTTATCACGAATAAAACAAATAATTTGAACCATTGAAGGCGAGATATTAGTAAATAATAGCAACAATAATAACAATAGTAGTAGTAACAATAATACCGGCAAGCTTAGTACCATCTGAAAGGTTTTTCATCAACTGGGATTTATTAAGTTCTTAGCCGGCCAAGGTTTTTCTATCGGCTAACATCACTAGCACGACATTTTGTGTATATATATAAAATAGTATTAAATGATCTGCATAATTGTAAAATTTTATTTTGTTTGACGCGTCCAATTGCAAGTACAAGTAGAAATAAATGTAAATAATTATATTGTTATGAATATTTATAATATTTATACAATTTAAAGTTTTCTTTTACATTTTTATTCCTACATAAATAATAACAATTAAAATAATTAGATAATATGAGCAAGCAACAATAATATACAAATTGTCAAAAAAGGAGAAGAGAAATGTAAAGATATATTTAATAATATTATTAAAATGCGTCAACGAATTGTAATTTAAAATCAATATTAAATAACATTAACTATAAATAAGTTTTGAATATTTATGCGCAATATGATCCAGGTTTTCTTTTAAATCTAAAATCACTCAATTCGATCAAGTACTAGTGGGATACAAAATATATGATAAATGCGTTTTGAATTTTAAATCCTTATATGGCATTTTCAAATAGAAATAATAATAAAACTTGCCTATCATACAACTAGATAAAACACTCATCAAGTATATTTTACAAAACTTGTTTTCCAAGCTTTGTAGATCTCATCCAGTGTTGATTAATTAGTTTTAGAGAGATTCACAAAAAAATAGTTTATAAACCCAAGTATATTGTAATATATTTTTTTTCCAATATTTACTTTTGTATCTATTTTTATATTATTATTAAACGAAATAAGAAAGAATTGTTATGTGACCATATTTTATTCCTCTAATAACAATTATACTACTAATTATTAATCACTTTTTTTAGATCTGGTGGTTTACGATAAGAAAGAATTGTTACGCGACCATATTTTTATTATTAATTAATTATTTTTAGAAAATAGGTAGAAAATCCAACATCATCAAAAATTCTAGCTGATACTATTAATTATTAATCACCTTTTTTTAGATCTGGTGGTGTACGATCAGAAAGATTGTTATGTGACAATCGAATTATTATAATATTATTTATATTATTATTATGACTACTGTTCTTTTCATTGTCTTAAATCACCAATTTAATTTTTTCTATATATTTTAGAAAGGGAGCATGCAAACCAGCCTGCAGTAAGGTTTCTATTTATTTATGCTTTCAATCTAAAAAAAAAATTTCTAGTCAAGTCTTAATACTGTACATTACTTTCAAGTCAATTACAAATTGTATTCAGAAATATGGAAAACTTCAAACAGAACATGGACTGGTGATTAACTCAAAGCTGTCAAATCACGATGGTGATATAGCACGTACAAATTTTCATGTTGCTGTATGTACATTGCTAATCCATAATCTTTCAAAAATCACCATTTTATCATGTTAGCAACATTTAAAGACGGGAACCGCAATTAGCTGTCATTAAATTTTCATATGCTGCAACTG